ATTTCATTCTGGGCTAATCTAGTCTTTTTACAGTTTTAAGATCCATATAATACTTGTTTGTGGGATACTAGACTGTCAAGTTGGTCCAATTGTAATTAGTATGTAATGTGGAAAGGAAATCTAAATGCAATAGCAGAAAAAAGCCAGAGCAATGTGAAATAGCACCTTCTAATGATGTTGCTGCTAAATCATAACTAATTACAATTGTACACAACCATGTAGTCTACCCTGAGGAATTGGTTATTAAGATGACCAATCAGAGTTGAAAGCTATGTCCAACTGGGTTGGCTGCTTAGGCTATTCAAAAGACGTTGAAAAGATGCTTCTGGGAGAAAGCTTTAATGATTTGGGTAAGCCGGAGTACACATATCAGTCCGTCTTTTTATCTGAAGGGTACTGTATCTCCTGGCACCCAGTCCCAATTTCATCAGTTAAAAATTGAGGCGACTTGTCTGTAGAAGACCCGGAGGCATCTGTAGAACTGGATAAGTTGTTGTTAGGATTGATAATTGTACAACTCCAAGCCGGTTTGAATGAGTCCTTGAAACCACAATCAGCGAAGAAATTGGGCAAAAGCCAGAACCGTCGACGGCCCAGGGTGGCTAAATATACAAAGGCAAAGACAACTGCACGTACGAGCGCAATGAGAAGGATAAGTCCGAGAAGACCAGAGGCTACTAGGAGGAGGTAGTAAGCGAGAAGCCGTAGCTGCGGAGGCCAAAGAGGAAAGAGGCAACAAAGAATAATGCCAATCAAAAGACCAGCTCCTGCAAGCCAATTAAAGAGGCCTGGTGGCGGCTCGTATAACCATACATAGCAGTACTGTTCACCAGGACCTGAACCAAAGCCATTTCCGCATCCTGAGCCCGAAGGACTCTCCGCAACGGTAAACACTTGCTCAGGAACAAACTTGAGCCTAAAGGGTTTTTTTGTGCTTGACATGTGACAAAAAGGAAACAGCTATGAGAAAATATCAGAAACTTGGTAATAAAACAAAGGAATATAAGAAAACAGATTACTAGGGGGTACTTGATAAACCAACAAACCACCAAACCGCAAACAGGTATGTGAAATAAAGCCTCTAAACTTGACCTAGTATGTATTTAATACTTAGTTTTTTTTAAAAACCACCGTGTTGTGATGTTCTTAGATTGATCTATTAATTGGGTGTCAAGAAACTGGATATGCTCTAAATAAATGAAAAAGGAGTAATTAAAATGAATAAAAATTTAGGTAGTAGCTAGAGTACACAATCAATAATGAAAGCGAGTATGCAAGGAAAGTGATGAAAGTTCAACTGGATTTATGGCCTTGGTCTGCCACATACTAGGCGTTGAGGTTTAAGTGGATGACTACATAGTATAAGCTAAAAATATTGCTTTAAACAGAAGGCCCTTATTGATAAATGTTAACGATTGAAATAAGGTATATTAACACCAAATTATCCTAATAATAAACCGAAAATGAACATACTCATCAAAAATTTAACTAGAAATAATAAAGCAAAGCAGCGTGACAGTACCTATTTCTTTTGTTCAAATCCGATTTATCCTTTAAGGAAGAGCCACTTTTTATCACTTTAGGTAAATCAGACGTATCCTCAATGAGTTTTGAATCGGAAGCATCTTTTGGTGGTATATTAAT